CCGCTCCAATTTATTTGATTGTGATGTTTATACTTTTCTTTTCAATCTTATTTACCGTAAATTCAAAATTTAAATTTGAATGATAATGTACATACGATTACAAGAAGAGATAATATTAAAAGAAAACACTAAAAAGTATTTTGATTTTCGTAATATAACAAATATTTTTGGATATCATAAAATGAAAATTATGACGCTTTCAATGGGAGGATGGGAATATATCAATCAATAGCCAAAAAAAGGGCCAGTTAAATGTACATATGTTGCAACTACCAGGTTGGCAATGGACATGGTCAACATGATTTGATGGCTCATATTTGTGAATGTTTTTTTTTTTGGTGGAATTGAAGCAATATTTTGTGAATGTTTGTGCTCGCAAATTTGCTTGCTTTACGGCGTTGTTAATCGCGGATTTTGAGTACTTTGGGACAGCTATCCGCCGCTTCCTGTCCGCTCTATATTTGCCATAAATTAATTAGGGGGTGCCTGGTTCATGCTTTGGAATTGGTTTTGGAGATGGAATCATATACAAAAAATTAGTATGGTTTGAACCTCTGATATTATTCTACAAACTGATGCTTGGTATAAATATAGTTGGAATGGTATCAAAATTAATTTTTTATTTTTTAATTATTGTTCTCTTTTCTGGATTGATAATCACGCCCACCATCAGACCACCACCGAATCACTACCAATCCAAATCTTTTTTTGTTTTTTGTTTAACAATTACCAACAAAAACTCATGACTAATCAATAAAAGATTTGGATGTTTGTCATTTTTGCCCTTTTCTCAACAAGTTGCAACTGGAACTTTCAAATATTCACAAAAAACTTTGCAAAAGAAAACGACAAATTGCATCCTCTGCTGAAACCTATAAGAAACACCATACAATGCAATCCAGTTAGAGCCTTTCACAAAGAGAAGAGAATATATCGATTATGATGAGGAGGACGAATTGATGGCGAGGGAGGAGAGGAAATGGTCAACTAGGGAGAAAGGGAAGTGACCGACAATAGGAGAAGAAGAGTGATTTGTTGGATGCCATGGAAAAGGAAGAAAATTGGAAACAAAGGATGAGGGGTGTTGTTAGATGCCGATAAAAAGGAAAAAGTGGTCAGAGATAAGGAAAGAGGGAGGAGTTGTCAGATGCCATGGGAAAGAGAGGAGTGTTGAAGACGGGAGGAAGGGGAGGCTCGATGGTAGGAGCCTGGGAGAGGGAGAAAGGAAGAATTTTAACAAAATATTTTATCTTTTATTTATTAACTGTTGGAAATGAGTTGAGGATTTTGAGTGATTACTCCCAATTTAGTCAGGAATCATGAATTGGACATGATTCTAATATTTCAATTGCCATTACAGTATACCAAACACTAAATATTGAAATTATTGTTATTACACATGCCAAACCTCTCAAACCAAGCAGCCCCTAAAGCTTTCGTTATTCAAAGAGACCCGTTTGGAGATGGGCACGGTCAAAGCTTGATGGCCAATATTTTTATCTATCTCATTATCAATCAATAGCTCTGCTTGCTTAAAGGCTGGCTATATTAATCACTCATTTGATGTATAATTACGTTCCATATAATGTCAATGATCATCTGATTCCTTTTCATTAATTCTATATTTGAGCTTGCGTCACTTAAAAAGTTATAGGCTACATATTTGAGCTTGTTGTTGTTGTTGTTGTGCGACTAAAATTGATCTGGGAAAAGTGCTACGTACTCTTTAAAAGCCATCATGAGTTCAGTAACTAAATATAAAGCTTAACTATGAAAGAGAACTAGACATAATGAGCATAAAAAGAAAAGGAAATAGGGAATTTGGATAAGGAATTAAATGACACTCAATATTATTTCTCCCAGTTAAAAATTAAAATTGTTAAACAGATTTTTTTTTTCAAGTTTCTTATTCATCAACATAAAATGCCGTGGTTATGATGGGACTTTGACAAGGGGCTAGCGTCCCTGTCCTGGTCAATGCCTCCTGCTCCCCACTACAAGGTCAATTTTGACGCTTAGTTTTTGGTAATGGTGTGGTCATCCATAGTTGATTGCTGGCTTATCAAAGAGAATGGAAGGTCTAGCCAATGTTGAACTTGCTGAAGCTCATGCTGTAAGAAAAGCACTCTGAATTTGTTTGGTTTCTACTTTATTTACATATTATTTACAAACACTGATTTATTTGCATTATCAATGTATTTCTAAATCATCTTTTTATCTCATCTTATTTATAAACACTGATTTATTTGTATTATCAACCTTATTTTTGAACCACTTTTTAAATCTTATATATATTACATCAAAAAAGTGTTACGATATTTTTTCAAAAAAATTATCCCAAATCATCTCCTATCCAAAGATGCTGATGATTCCTACTTTCATATTAGAGGGCGACGCATCTCGATCATAAAAGTTGATTAATAGCACAAAAGAGCTCTTACTCGGATATTGGCTCGATAATTGAGGACATTCGCACTTCCCTGTCAGATCAAAGTATTATTGGTGTAATATGGATATTTAAAGATGCCATTAAGGTTGCGCATAATTTGATACCTTTTGCTAAATCACCGAACCTGCCCGAATTCTTCAAAATTGTCCTCTAACCATTATTAAACAGTTAGTGATGGACGAATTCTTGCAATCTAATAAATAGTTTTCCTTTGTTTTTCAAAAAATATATATATAATATCAGAATCTGCCGAAACATTCTGAGTCTAATATTGAGGAAACCTAATCACCAATCCATCAATGCATTAAGGTTTGGTGGCTTTCAGCCAATTTGCTATAATTAAATGTGGTTTTATTTAAAAAATTCAGGCGAGTGCGTAGTACATCCGTCTGGTCCGGTGGTGGTTCAGTCCCTTCCGCGTTATCCCAAGACTTTTTTAGGCCCTCCCCTCTCTATAGTGTAGGAAGCTATCGTATCGAAAATATATATATATATATATATATATATATTGAGGAAGCCTAGGCCCAGTACATGTACAATCCAGAATCCATATCAAACATCATTCACAGCTTAATTCATGTGATGGTTCAAGTCCGGTGGTTCTCAACATAAATTCGAAGGGCTCCTGAAAACGAATACCAACCTCCACTATTTAATGCTGTCTGCTCTTGCATCTCAAGATTGAGAAATTTGTACTCTTGGCCTTGAGTGAATCGCTCTTCTATTATCTCAATCGAAGACGGAAGGATCCGAACATGGAGAAGACAATTGTTAGCCAGCTTCCCAATCTCATTTTTATCTTTCAGTTATTCTTTATCAATTTTCACATCATGTTCTTTGCTTGCTCGTTTGCTAGACATTACCTTTGAACAGTCCACCCAATAATAAAATTGAACAGGTTCTGCTTCCACTTTCAGTTGGGCCGCGATGAGCAAATATAACCACATGACAACAACAGGCGTTTTGCTCCCTTGTCAGGTGAGTTGTCAATGGCCACATCAAAGAGCACAGGCCCACTGGGCCACTTTTAATGAAAGCAAAATGCAAGCAAAACACCACCAAGCTGGATAGACGTTGACCATCTTGTTCTGCTCTACACCCATGGACCACGATCGCCGTTGAATCCATCTCTTTCCCGCCGAATTCCCCAATCCAACAAAACTGAGAATTTGGTTAAAATTCATAATCACTAGTGGCCTTAATCCTTCCGATCTTTTTTAGTATTTGCAAAAATAACTACCAGCAGTAGAGCACTCAAAATTTAAGTGTATCACCACTTTGAAATTGCCCACCAAATTTTGTTTCTCGAAATATATGCTACTGTGATGTTGCCGTTGGTTAAAAAAAAAAAAATATATATATATATATATATATATATATATATATATATATATATATATATATATGCTACTGCTTCATCACCAGAGAGTATTGGGGGGGGAGGGGCAATGGGGTTGCTGAGCTCAAAAACTCCGTCTTTATCTTTATCTATGGAAGAAATACATCTGCATCAACAACTGATTGGTGCTGTAAATACATCTGCATCAACATATAATTTCACCAAGTAGTAGCAGTAGACAGTAGTACTACTCGGAAGAGGTGGTGGATGAGAGGAGCAGTATGTTGTTTTGATGTCGAGGGAAAGTAGGTTTGCTCTTAATGAACTTTGGCAAGGCAAAGATTGCGAGACTACGCAACCATGACAGCATCACAGTTCACAGAGCTTGATCAGGCCATGAAATTAATTGCAATTTGCAGCTGCATCCAAGCCGAGGGGGAGGAGATAAAGAGAGGGAATCTAAAGTACGCTTGCTTGCTTGCAATCACATCACTGCATATGGAGTCGGACCATAAATTAAACTGACATATGTAACGTAAGGCAAAAACAAAAAAATGATTACTAATTCTCTATGAAATTGGAGGTAAAGCGGTTAGTAACCGTCGGTTACTCTTATTCTAAGTACTCCAATTGTTTTAGGAATACCCTGTGGTACTATATTCTGGGATGGATGATGGATGAATGGGAAGGCGGGTTAGAAGGACATTATCAATACTTATGATCATCCATTTGCGTTAAGTAACCTCCATCATCTAACAACACAAATTATAGAAACATGATGCAAAATGCGGGTTGTACCTCAAAAAAAAAAAAAAAAAAAAGGTTGTTGCTGGTAAGTTTGAAAGTTGAAACCTTATATAATATATACGACTCGGGTTTAATTTTCTTCGAATTATTCTTGTATAGAATAGTACAGATCTATCGTGTTCGATAAAAAAAAAAAAAAACGACTCGTGTAACTTGGCCTGGGACCAAGTCCTGACCAACAATCTCTTCTTTCTACTGTGTGTATTCGTTCTAGACCCACCACTACGTCTACTAGTAGTCTAGCAGCGGTAGAAGCATTACTGTTACCTTCCTTCACCTGCAAACGCAAAGTCATAAACCCCAATCTGCATTTATCATCATCTTTTTTTGGCCTTTTAATACCTCAGTCGGGCAGTTTGGCACATCTAACACTCCACGTCTCTTTCCCCTATCTCTCTCTCTCTTCCATTTAATCTCTCCTCTCAACATCCATCCATCCATCGTTATCACAAGTCCTAATGCACTTTCCACCCCCTTAATGTCTTCTTCGACCATTCTCCATCGATAACGTTGGCTTCATCAACTCAAGTCAACCTAATTTTTCTGGAGAACCACCGGCTGTTATCCCATTTATTTATGGGGGAATCTCACGCTGCTTAGTGCTTACTCTACAGTCTACTCTCTCTATATATATACCTAGATACTACTCAAGAAATTCTCTCTAATTAAGGCTTGCCTTCGGTCCCCCTCCTTCCCTCCCTCCCTCCTGCCTCCTCCTTCCTTGCCTCCGTAACCACTTCTGTTTAGAGTGCCCTTTGTCACGTCTCTCTGGGATTCTTAAACGTGCGTCGGTGAACTTGACGGGCGTCAGACACCTCGTCACACTACGCCACGCTACGCTACGTTCTCACATTTACTCCTACACCATTATAGGGACTTGGCTTTGTGGTCAAAGCTCATGCTAGAATTCAAGTAAAATTTTCTTCTCTTTGCCTTTCCTTCTCTGCCGGGGAATTCTCTCTTTCTCAATTCTCACTACAACGTACCTTCCTTTTTGTATTTTTTGGCCTCACGAAACAAAAAGGGAGGACCATTCAGCTCAACCAATACTCTTACTACTACTACTACTTAATAAAGTTCACTCACCAACACAACAGAAGCAAATATTACGTACCAACTACGAGTTGTTGTAGAGAGTATTTGGGTTTGATCGATGGGGAATTGCCAGGCGGCAGAAGCGGCCACGGTGGTGATTCAGCATCCGGGGAACAAAGTCGAGAGGATTTACTGGTCCGTCAGCGCTCACGAGGTCATGTCTTCCAACCCCGGCCACTACGTCGCACTTGTCATCAGCTCATCGACAGCGACGAGGTCGGAGAATGGTACACCGGTGAAGCAGCTGAAGCTTCTCCGTCCTGATGACTCTTTGCTTATGGGACAAGTTTATCGACTCGTCAGCTTCGAAGGCATGTCATTATTTCTTTCTTGTTGCAACTCCTTTTTATTTTCTTGCAACAACAAAACAGGATAATTAATTAGGAGTCTTGTTGTTGTTCGCCTGCTACTAACACAGATGTACTGAAAGAGTTTGCCGCCAAGAAATCGGTGAAACTTGGAAAACTGCTAAAGGAGAGTGGTGGGCTCGTTCTGGATACCAAGACTAACTTGTCTGCTCCCACTCCCAACTCCAATTCCAGGCCCAGATTGGTGAATGGAAATTCGTCGCTTATTAAGGTAATAATAATTAACTCTACTACATATTCAACATGTCCTTCTAAGTACGTCATTTCGTTCCCAGTTCAATTGTTTACTTTCCCAAAATTCTGTGTCAAATATTAAATTTGCTTTAACTTGTACTACTAGTACTCAAGTTTATTCTTTCTTTTTTCTCACAGCGAATCGAGATAGTGCGTAACTTCCTTCCTTTTTCTTTTGTCATGTCTACACATGAAGGAATCGTATGAATTCCAAGTAGAAAGTACTAAAATTTAAGAGCACTAAACGTAGGCACATGTTGAAGCGCTTTAAAGAAAGCATACATGTATAGTCGATTTTAATAATAAATAAATAAATTTTTAAAAAAAAAAGAAAGCATGGTGGATTAATTAAGTGCTACTGCTTCATGTACAAGTACAAGAAAAGTTAGGTGGCACGCAGCCAACTATTGGTGGAGTTTAAAGAAAAATGATTATCATAGCAACTACCAAGCCTCTACTAGTTATTGCTGAATGCTGATGTTCGGATATTGCAATCGCTGGAAAGATGGTGGTGGCTCTAAAAAGATAAAAAGCCAACAACTAATTCAAGAGTTGCCGGCTTTTGGAGGTTAATCTGATATTAGGGTTAATTATTTCAACAAAAGTCATTTACTGGAGTTGAAAAAAAAACAACTAATTAATGAGACCTTGAAAAATAGGCTGGCCCCAAATCCAATTATTGTTTTAATTGCTAAATACATATTGTTACCACTATCCCCCAAGTATATATACTAGGGGGATAGATTATAAGATTTAGCGAGACTCACTGTGCATCTTCTTTATTTAAAAAAAAAAAATACTAAGATTTAATCATCAAATAGCATACTATAAAATACTGGAAAATAAAAAGAATATAAGCAAAAATATCTTGTTTACCTGGTAGGTTAGCTTAGGTACAAGGTATCTAACCTAATCCTTGCTTCGCACAAGAGCATGGGAACTTCTTTGAGAATATACCAGTTTGGTGGAGAATAATTATTTATTGGAGTATTTGTAAAGTTCAGTTAACAGATGGACGAGGGGCCTGGAGACAACCGTCCCAGGCAGTTCACGGCTTGGATGAAGCCTCAAAAATTTGTGCGGCTCAGATCACGTCTTGTAACTCGATTTTCACGCCGTGTGGGATCCACAAAAATGGTGTTTTATTTTACTCGCTGTTGTTCAATTGTTACACCTTGTACAGATGATGTTACACCATGTACAAATGGTGTTACACCTTCCGGAGCGGTTGTTCTGACAACCGCTCCAGCCCCGCGTCCTTAACAGATAGGCTGGTTCTGGTAAGGTTAATCATAAAGAGTCACATGGGTTTTCAATTTCATATTTGGAGTTAAACTGCAAATAATAATAAATGGAAGAAGGAATATTCAAGCGTGGACTAATATTAGAGCGTTTACCATTGCATCGTTAATTTGTGCGACCGTTATACCATTGCATTATGAAATTGGTTTGACTTCTTTTAAATATATGCCCTACTGAGATTTGATAGTAATAGCTAGGTCCCCAATGCCAACCTCAGAATTTATTTCTGAAGTCCACCTTATATTTATTTTTGGTCCAAAAAAGAGCACTAATCAATTTTGATTTGGCGTAATGCATGATTAAATTAGCTTGCTTTCATCTTTAAGCTATTTATATACACTCACTCCTATTCAGTTGTTTTAACGTACTAATGTCCTTTAATAAACTAGCCAGCAAGGCGTGTGTGTTAATTAATCTGATGATGTCCTTAATTTTGCAGGGTGCACACGAGGGCTATGGAGCAGGTAGCAGCAGTAGTAGCGGAATGGGCAGCAACAGTGGTAGCAGCAGCAACAGAGGCGTGGGAAGGCATCATATTGGTCATGTTGGGCAGTGGAAGCCAGCCTTACAGAGTATTGCAGAGATTGGAACTTGAACTCAGCCTAAAGAGATTTGCCAGGACTGGTACTACAACGTAGTGACGTCCTAGTGCTACTCCTGATGGTCCTTATCCCCTTTCCGCACAAATTATAGATTCTCTTGCATGCTGCTTTTTCAGAAGATGCATGATTCATGCATGTACAAAAGCACTCGTCATCAGTTACCAGTTTTCTGTATTTGCGTGAACAATTCCCTCTTGCATTGATGTTCTTTTGTATAAATGAATGAAAGAAGCGGCCGGGAGGGACCATTTCATTTCTATTAGCTTGTGACGTCTTTGCTGGATTTATGTGGAGGGTTTACTCCCAGGTGTCGTGCCTTTTAAGTCATACTTTAAAAGCTTTCTGCAGATGCACCTTGCAGCTCTTGATCACGTATATTTTTTTCTCTCTTTTTTTTTTCCAGTGTAAATGAGTGATCTCGGTACACTTCCCCGCCTGTACCTAAAAACACGAAAACTAATTGCCTTCAATGCTGCACCACCTTGTGTATCATAGATTCTATGTTCTATTCGTGGGCTTGATATATTCAACTTATCTTCTTGCTCAATGAAGGAAAGACAACGTGCATTTATACATACATATATATATATATGGTAACGTAGGTAACCGGCTGTATTACAACATAAAGAGTTTCTTATTCAAATATCGAAAGTGCAAATAAGAAAAATAGAGTCCAACCTTTTTGATGCGAAAGGCGATAAGGATATCAAGGAAGAAACGGTACGCTGAAGTCATCCCAAAGTAAGAGTAGTATGTCACTTTCATGACGGATATTGGAACTGCATTGGGCGGCATCCCCCAGCCTTTTTACAAACCTTTCTCTGTCTGTTGCTAGGATCAGTTGTAGTATCTGTCGTTAACTGTTAGCAGTCTGCATCTGCATTTCATATTTTACACATATATCAGTCTGCATCTGCATTTCTTTGTGGTTTTCTTAATATGGAAAATTTCAAGAAATACAGAATACGATCAAATTTTACTGCAAGCCCTTCTTATCATTCCTCTTCATCGTCTAGCAAAGAAATACTTGAATCTATGATCCAAAAATAGAATAGAATCACCATAAGGATAAAGTGCATGACATGTTCACAGATTTCTCTGTCTTTTGTTGTGGAATGCTTTGTTTCGACCATCCAGCCATAAATTTTGGGCCGATAAATTTCGGATATACCCAAGTAGTCCCTTCTCTGATGACTTGTATATGGGCTTACCGGTGAGGCGGGTAAAGTTTGGATCTGGTTTGGGCCCCAAGAGTAAATTGGTAGAGGCCCAACTAATTGAGGCCCCTTACTTTAGAACCGAAAAGAACAATAATACCCTCCTCCTGCCTTCGTATTTTCAACTGCTACCCTTTTCTACTCTAATCACAGAATACATGGCTACAGCTGCTGCAACCTCGACGCTTCGGGTCATTTTTCCCGTTGTATGGATCCTATTCACTTCAATTTCAATTCTTCCCTCCATTGTCTCTGCTAACGACCATACACTGGGTATGTTTCCCAAGATTCTAGGGCTTTACATAAATTTTTTCCTTTGATGTTTATTAATCGCTTGTTTCTGAGCAAGAAAAAGTGACAGTGAGGAAAGTTAAATAAAGACTAGAAACTTGAGGGCTGGTTTTACTTTTTCGTGCAATTAAAGTATAACTGACCAGAGAAAAGTTTTTGGTGCTTGGATGTTAGGGCTGAAGAACTCGGAGCCGAATAACTTAGTCGTGGTAATATACTTTGTTGCAAAAAAACTTGGAAGAAGGAAGGGATGATGTGTTAAAAGTTTTAGTTAGTATCTTGATTTATAAGGCGTTTGTCGCTTGTCTGTAATTTCGTGAAAGTGCGTGCATTTTCATGAATCATTTCTTAATTCTTACGCTATTATGGATTTCTGCAGCTCGTATATAATATGGTATATATGCTAGCCTTTTGGGTATCACGAATTGTACTGCAGAAGGGGGATTTTTTTTTTTTTTTTTGGGGTTATATCTCATTTACTGTAGACTAAGCTTTAAGTGCTTGTATCCATCTAGAAGTTTCAAATTTTGATACACAAGCACTTAGTGCTGCAATGCCTACACAGACCGGAAATGAATTTTTCCGCGAGGGGTGGGAGTGGCGCAACTCTATTTAACTGTTGAAACTGTTTTCTTTCTTCATGGTAATTATCTTGTTAAAATTCACCTCCAGGTTGTGTAAAATATGCATCCTGAAGTTGAAGTCTTAGAAGGGATCCCCAAACCCAAGTTTTGAATTGGTCTTACAGTGGATATATGCCAAATTTAAATGTCAAATCTCCTGGGCAGCTACTTGCCTGTGTTCTGAGACATTTTTTGTGCATGTATAACTGCTTGTTTTCATGCTTGCAGTTGTTACTGAGAATACAACGTTGCAGCTAATACCAAGCTTAATAGTTGACAAATCACCTGGTGTAAAACCTGGAACCAAAGTTCTTTGTGAAAGAGTTAAGGTTCAAGGTTTGTCGAGGCTGAAGCATTTGAAGAAGTTTCCCAATACTAGCAGAGTGAAAGTTACATATGTAGGAAGCAGTGGTCGTCCACCCATTATTGAGGTTTGTTTCCACAGGTGCGTGATTTTGCATTTTGGTTTCAGTTACTGCATCCTTCTCGTCTAGGTCGAAATTTGGATTTACTGCACATGTTTTTAATAACTAATTGTTTTAGGGCATTTGCCTATCGATTGCTTTACGTCAAAGCTTATTTTAGCTCAAGAAGACCTAAAAGTCTTTTAGCATCTCTACTAATCTGTTGGCAAAGAAGCTCCTTGTCGTTTTCCAGATATAGCAATACTGCTCATCAGTTGCCTTAATAATTATTTAGAAGTGTTCTTGAACTGAAAAGTATGTAATGGGTTCAATTAACTTGCCTTCCTATTGGAAGACATCTTTCTTTAGTAAATAATATTGAAATTAGCAATTTTTGGCTTGATCTTACACTAGAAGTAAAATAGTTCTCCTAGCAGTAAGAAGCCTGGCTGCTTACTGATTGCAGCTTAGAATTAGATAAGTAGTGGATGAAGACAGTGGCTGTGGTACTTGTTATTAAATTTTTACATGTTATACTTTGAATACCTTACTAGGTTTGAGTTGTACATGGTATAAATGAATTTCTGTTTTTAATGTGCACATCCTATATGCTAGGTTTTGAGTTGTCCATATTATAAATGAATTTCTTTTTTAGTGTGCACATGCTATATACTAGGTTTGAATTCTACTTTGATATTGCAGGAATTTGACTGTTGGTATAGGGATGTGCAATCAAAGCCAGTGGCAGAAACTTACCAAGGGGTCATGGATGAGATCAATGTCGCCATTTGATCACAAGTTCTTAGATATACGGCTAACAGGCTCCCCTACAGAATCTATTGAGGTTTCCCTTGATGAAGGTTGTTTTCTTAGGATCAAATGACTAAGTGACGCTCCTTTTAGTAATACTTTTATTTAACAAACCATTTGCAATCTTTTTTGCAGAAATTTTCTTCTATCGTGTTATATTCTTGGTTTTAGGAGTTATCATTATGATGTTGGCTTCCTTCCTTAGCAATTCCTTAGTTTTTTACTACAGTGGTGCAATGGCTGTGGGAATTCTTCTTGTGATATTAATGGTCCTGTACCAGGTAAGGTTCATTAGGTTTCTGGTAAATTTACCTTTATATTCATGGAAAATGAATGTCACACTGCAGTGATGTTCATACAAGATGAATTTCTATTTGACTGTAAATGTTCCTCAAGAACTTTGCACATTCCAACTTGATATTATAGACGAGCTTGTAGACAGGCATATAGGTATCAGTTGTAATGTTGCACTTAAAATGAAGGATCGCAATGGGCAGTTTGAATTAACATTTGATCTCTCTCTCTCTCTCTCTATATATATATATATATCTATGTATCTATCTCTCTGGATATGTAGACACACACACACACACACTTGTTGTTTTAAAGCTAACTATTGTTTTGCTAATATGCTGTCGACAGGGGATGAAGCTTCTTCCAACGGGCAGGAAGAATTCACTTGCGATAGTCCTGTATTCATCCATGGTCGGTATCAAACTTTATCTATTCTTTAGTGTGTGCAAATGAAGATTATGTTCAACCTTCTCAATTTATCTTCAGGTTGGTTTGGGCACTTTTCTACTTCGTTACTTGCCGAGATTGTTGCGTTCAATTCTCACTGAGATTGGTATTAGTGAAGACATGTACAATCCTGTATGTAAGTTCCCTATATTTTTTCTGATAGTTTACTTTACTTGTCTTTTGGCATTGAGAAACTGATTTAGTCTTTGAGATGGAAATTTTAAGTCTATTTTGCTCAGTCTCATCTCCAAGTTGACGGGGTTTCTTTGTTTCCTTTGAGGCCTTCAATCTCTATTTTAGCATTTTTATTTTTCAAATCCCTCGTATTGCTGATTTTTTTTACCTCCACTTCCAGTTTAGGATTAAAGTTATTGATGCATTTTGTCACTTTCTGCAGCTGGGAATATTGCTGCTGGTTTTTCTTGTCATTGCTGGAGCTTGGTTGGGCTTTTGGGTTGTCCGCAAACTTGTACTGACAGAAGATGGAAATATTGATGTTGGGGTATCTCATTTTGTAGCTTGGTCCATTCGGATTTTGGCTTCTGTTATGATTCTGCAGGTTTAGCTTCTCATCTGTGTTTTAGAGTTTGTTTGACCTTTCTTAGACTTCTGTTTGTTCTCTACCTGAGTACTGATTTCATATTCTTCAGAGTTCTATTGACCCTCTGCTAGCAGCAGAGGCATTGCTTTGTGGAATTTTTGTTGCAACAATCTTAAGGAGATTTACCCCTCTTGAGTTTCTGCAAGGCGTATACAGGTGAGTCACCTTATGAGTTCAGATTGCAATAGCCCTTTCTGGGTAGCTTCCATTTCATGTATTAGCTACCCATGTTGCATATGCCAAAATGCTTGGCATCATCCTCATTTTCAGCCAAGTAAGCATAATTTATGGTATTGAAATTTTTTTTAGTGTCTAATATGCTCTTTAATGGAAAAGTGCTTGCCAAATCCTTGCAGAAGGTTTCGCAGATTGAGAAAGTCCAAGCGCAAGATATTTCAGGATAAGTATGCATCACCAGTCAAAGAATCTCATGATTCTATGCCCTTCACTGAAGCCCCATCCAGCGCCTTGCAAGGTGGATTCACCTTTTGACACAACATTATTAATTTACACCCGAGACATATGCTAGCTCTCTTTCTTGCTTATTATTAATTATTTCCGCTTTTCCTTCAGGTTCTACCAGCATGTCTCCAAGGCAGTTGACAGACTCAGAAGCGTTCTACTCTACCTTTCATACCACTCCTTACCGAAGAAAAATTTCAAAGGATGAGTGGGACAAAT